AAGGAATAACAAGTGTAATATCCACTAAAGCAAAGCTTAAGTATATAACACCAACAAAAATATGTCGCATAACATAGAGTATGCAAAGTTCAATTTGGTTATGCAATAACAAAATATTCAATAATGTCGCATGTGGTAAATTGTGCAGTGTATTTAGATATGTGAATAGTAGACTAGGCAAAAATGTGTCGTATAACATTAAATATGCAACATTCGACTTGGATATGTGAGTCGTAAACTATGGAAAAATATGTCGCGTAACACAAATTATGCGATGTTCAATTGGATATGCAATAAATGAATATGTGAAAAGTTACTCGCATATGGTAAATTATGCAGTGGATTTAGATGTGCGAGTCATAAATTATACGAATATATGTCGCCTAACATAAAATATGTGCTCTCGATTTAGATATGCGGGTTGTAAACTATGCGAAAAGTTATCGCATGATTTGAATATGAAAGTTATCTCGTAACAAAAATATGACGGATAACATAAAATACGCGACGTTTGATTTGAATATGAGAGTTGTAAACTATGCAAAAAGTTATCGCATGACATAAAATATGCGAAATGTGATTTGGATATGCAATAACAGAATATGCGAAAAGTTCTCGCATATGGTAAGTTATGCAGTGGATTTTGATAAACGAATTGTAAACTATGCAAAAATATATCGCATAGCATAAAATATGCGAAGTTCGATTTAGATATCCGATAACATAATATGTGAAAATTTATCGCATATGATAAATATGCGGCAAATCTGAATAAACGAGTCGTAAACTATGTGAAACTATGTCGCATAACCACAAAATATGCGATTTTCGATTTAGATGTGCGATAACAGAATATGAGAAAAGTTATCGCATATAGTAATTATGAGAAATCATGTCGCATAATTGTAAAAGATGCGGAAAATTTTGAATATCCGATAACTATATATTCGAAACTTAACTTCGCATATCGTAAATTATGCAGAGGACTTTGATATGTGATTTTATACGGCATAATTTCAAAATTGGTCCTATAATTTGGCCACTTTCCAAAAAACCACCCCGCCATTGGCCACTTTCATTCTTGGTCCTATAAATTGTCCATTTAATCAAATTTGGTCCTTTTCTAATCAAATTTGGTCCTATAATTTGACATTTTGGTTCTTTTGTAATCTCATTTTAATCCATATTATGGATAAAAAGGACCAAATTTGATTAAAATGTCAAATTATAGGACCATGTTTGAAAGTGACAAATGACGGGGTGGTTTTTTGGAAAGTGCCCAAATTATAAAACCAATTTTGAAATTATGCCGTGATTATACCATATGAGGAAGTATTTGGCATAATATTTAACTATTTGTCCGATTATCCAACATAATTGTTAACTATGCGGTTTATTTGGATATGCGATATTGCATATCATTGCTTGAGCTTTGAGGTGAAAATGATTTTTAACACGATAATGTATAAAAGAATGTGCATGTATATACTCGGATAAAAAAGTAATTCTCCCATATAAATATTATCATTTCTCCCTACAGTAATCACACAAAACTTTTATTTCTACATTAACTTATTGAATACGAACTCGACTTTCACCTCCCAACAACTGCAAGATAACTTGTTTATACGGATAAACATGGCTGGTTTTCCTTGTCCAAGAACATTTGTGAATGGTCAATTGCTTGTCCTTGTTAAGATAAAATTATTTACGCAAGGTGGGTGTCAATTCAATATAACAGAAAACATTACTATGCCATTAGTTCCTCGTTAGCTTCAATTTTGTTGATTGTTGGTATTATATAAAGTCCCCTGATTCCCCTCCCTCCACATCTGACAATTAAAATTAATAGAGAATAGTGTGGGAAAAAAATACATATATAAAATAAAAAAAAAAAAAGAAGAAGAAGAAGAAGAGTAATGATGAACACCTTAAGCCGTTTTAGTAAGCAAATGAAGCACATAACCTCCTCTTTTCACAATCTCCTCTTCCGATTGAACCCATTCTGGTTACAACTCTTCTATATCACTACACTCTCTTCCTTTGGTTTCTTGGCTTTAAAGGCCACAAAGCCAAGAACTTCGACAAAACCCAAAAATCTCGATCTTTTCTTTACCTCAGTATCGGCTTCGACTCTTTCCAGCATGTCCACGGTCGAAATGGAGGTTTTTTCAAACACCCATCTCGTGTTCTTGGCTCTCTTGATGTTTCTCGGGAGCGAAGTTTTCACCTCCTTACTTGGACTTCATCTCATGAGAGCCAAGAAAGCTAAAAATGGCCTGTCCCGCTCGAACGTCAGTTACCATACTGAGAATTTGGATGAGAATGAAAACTTAAATTTGAATATGAAAATAAAATGTATGAAAACATTGTCCTGCACGGTCTCGTGCTATCTTTTCGTGGCCCATGGGGCTGGCTTGGCCTTGATTTACATCTACTTGATATTAAACCCGGCCGCAAAAAAAGTTTTACAAACTAAAGGGATTAATCTGTCGACTTTTTCAATCTTCACGACGGTCTCAGCCATTTCCAACAGCGGTTTTACGCCGACGAACGAGAACATGGTGGCTTTCATGAAAAATCCAGGCCTTCTGCTCATTTTAGTCCCACAGCTCATGATGGGGAACATGCTGTATCCCATTATGTTACGCCTGATGATTTTGTTGATGGCGAAAACGACAAGAAGCAGAGAATATAATTATATTCTACAAAATTCTGGTGAATTGGGGTACGGGCACCTGATTCCTTGGCAGGACACTGTTTATCTGGGGATTACTGTATTTGGTTTAGTTGTTGTCCAGATGGCGGTTTTCTCGGCTCTGGAATGGAATTCCGAAGCAGTAGTTGGTGGCGGTTTGAGCGTTTACGAGAAGGTGGTCGGCATTTTCTTCCAGGTGGTGAATTCCAGGCACACGGGGGAAGTCGTTTTCGATCTATCGGCTGTTTCTCAAGCCGTCTTGCTCATGTTTGTCCTCATGATGTGAGTATCATCTTTCTTTTCTTTGGTTTAAATTTATTGTGTGAAATTTCACTTAGCATAACGTTTCTCAGTTCAACAGCAAAGGCTGCTGTCAGGAATTTGAAAATTCAACATGCAATGTCCATATCTGGTTGTGCTAAGTCATGATAATTGCACAGTTTATTAGTATATAATTATTTAGTACACGGCTAATCATGCGCATGTGTGTAGGAATTATATTGGAAGAGTTATGGTGAAAAAAGTATTAATTTATTGAAATATTTTTGGTCCTATAATTTCTAGTCATGCATTTATGTAAGGGTAAAATTGTAATTTAGTCTTGTTAGTTTGATTTAATGGCGTTTTTAGTCCTAAAAATCGAACATTTTGCTATTTGGTCCTATGATTTTAAAATTCAACGCAATTTCAGTCCTTAGGGACTGAAAATGCAACGATATGAAAATTAAAAGTACTCAAATTGCTAATAAAAACCTTTTGGATGAATTTTTTTATTAGCAATTTAAGTCCTGTAATTTTAAATTTTGTTGCAATATCAGTTCTAAATGACTGAAATTGCTGGAAAATATTAAATTACAGGATCAAAAGACAAAAAGTTAAAATCTTGAGACTAAAAATGCTACGTCGTTAAACCAACATGACTAAAAATGCAATTTTGCCTTATATAAGCATCATATGGAATAGTTCTCTCTCCCATTTTCATGAAGGCTAAATTGCATTTTTAATCTTGGTGATTTGACGCCATAGCATTTTTAGTTCTAAGATTTCGATATTTTGCCATTTGGTCATGTGATCCATTGAGGACCGTAATTGCAACAAATTTCAGAATTTATACTTTTTTTATTAGCAATTTAAGTCTTATATTGAAAATTTTGTTGTAATTTCAATTCTGCTGTTTAAAATTTTGTTAGAGTTTCATTCTTTCGATGACTGAAACTACATCAAAATATTAAATCATAGGTCTAAAAAGCAAAAGGTTGAAACATTTGGACTAAAATTGCTATAGTGATAAATCAATCTATATCTATACATATATAAAGAGACAACCTATTTAGCAAAATAGTAACAATGAAAGTCAACAACATTTATTACATTCTATTTTCGGCAGTTTTTTTTAATTATTCATAAAAAAATCAATCAGCTAAATGCACCATAAATTCATGAATTTGGTGAATTTAATTTAGGTAAATTTTCACTGATCCTTACAATTTGCAAAAGTTAAATGAAAAATCTCTTTTTTTTTATTAAATAAAATTATTACCACGAAATCGGAAATTTCGAATTAGGCAAAATACTATCACTAATATATTTTACTTATTGCAACAAATTAATTGTGTATTACAAAAATCAGAGTACATAGAAATCGGGTTAAATTATGTAAAATTCAGCATGACAATTTGTAAAGGTGAAAAATCTCTCATTTTTTATTAAAAAAATATGTTTACCATAAAATCGGGAATTTGAATTAGGCAAAATACTACAACATGTATGTTTACCTAATTGCAACAGATAATTTAAAAAAAAAAAGGCTTACATGTATGTTTACCTAATTGCAACAGATAATTTAAAAATCCCTTATCACTTAGCTATCACTTTCTTTAATTTGATTTTTTTAACATAAAATAGAGTCGGAATATTAGTTTGAAATTCAAATGAAATCGGATTAGAACATCCTAAAAATTTAGGTTTTATTTAATCCTCTAGAATACAAATTTGAAATATATTGTGTACACTTACAAAATGAATAATGATTTCATACACTTAAAAAATGTCATATATATCCTCCTAAATAACTAATTGGTTTATTTAAGCCATCTCGAATCTTAATATAAAAGTTAGATTTTTCTATTCCAATACATGCGTTTTACGTTCTTCCAGTCATCGAATCTAAATGTTCACCTTAATGAAACTAGCTCGTGCATCGCACGAGTATGAATAAAAAGGAAAAAAATGATACAAGTACATAATAAATGTACATAGAGATGTACATAACACTCAGATGGTGGGTGCCACTAAATGTGAGTGTTATGTATACCTATATACCTATAACATTTCTCGAATAAAAATTCAATTTAATAAATATTTTTGTTGCAGGTACCTCCCGCCTTATACATCATATCTGCCAATTGAGCAAGCGGAAAATACAGTCACAAGTAGAGGAGAAAAGAACACAAGAAGCAACTGCAAGGGATTCTTGGACAACCTTATCTTCTCACAACTCACTTATCTCTTCATATTCATTTTTCTCATTTGCCTCACAGAGAGGCATAAGATGAAAACTGACCCTCTCAACTTCAATGTGCTTAACATCGTTTTCGAGGTCGTCAGGTGGGTACCTCTAATATCCTCTGACTCGAACAAAATCAAAATAATAATAATAATAATAATAATAATAATAATAATAATAATAACAATAATAATAATAATAATAATTAAACGATGTGGACTCACTCGATTTTTTTTTTCTTTTAGTGCATATGGGAATGTTGGGTTCACGGTGGGTTACAGTTGCGAGAAGCAAATAAATCCCGATGCAAATTGTAAGGACGCTTGGTTCGGGTTTGTGGGAAAATGGAGCGATGTGGCAAAACTTATTCTTGCAATTGTGATGATTTTCGGGAGGTTGAAAAAATTCAACAAAAGAGGTGGTAGAGCTTGGAATCTCGCATAACATCGATCACGGCCTATTTATAGGAAATATTACGGTCCTGTTACGGAACCATTCCGCCGGAGTTTGTAACCCTTTGATCATCAAGTAACCGTCGGAGATAGTTGATCTAATGATTACAAACTCCGACGGAATGATACTGTAACGGGACCATGGTATCACCCCCTATTTATTACATGTATTGGTTGGTGCAGATGTATCGTGTGGCTTTCATGTAAATATTTTTGTACATAGGTAAAAGAAGTAAGCATGTTCTTATATAATAGTGAGAATGATTTCATGTGAGAATGATTTGTAATGAAATAAATAATAGTGATTCTGTATTATTGGATCCATCAAGTAAACGAGTTCAAACAAGAAGGAATCGGGCTTTTCAAGCCCTTAAAGCAAGTCTAATCGCTCTTTCAGAGCTAATGATCAAGCCAAACTTCGTTAGATGATAGTCAAACAAGATGTTACAATCTCGTAAATAAATGAACATAATATGGTCTAACAATCACATTTGTCGACTCATTAAGGATAATCAATTCACTTTAGTGGGTCCCACCCCAACCCACCTACCATATCCTTTCACTTACAAGCATACAAACACAAATCACTCTCATCTTCGCGCGCGCATGCGTACACACACAAAAAGCCTACACACATAACACACACACACACACACACAATCGTGACAATTTGCCACTAACCCCACAGCCTTCCGCCATCAGCCTGCCGTCGCGCCTTCATCGTCTGTCATCGGAGATGAATTCCACATAGGAACGAAAATCACACTACAACCTTTCATGATTGTTATTTAAATTATGTCTGGACTGGGAACAAATATTTATACTTTAAAAGGCACCGATAATGTGATTATTTCTATTCCGCACATCAAACCACATTATCTACAATGTATAATAAAGGAACTATGTTCGCATAAATAAACTACAAACATCAACTTGGCTAATGACACACATCTCATTCAAAATGGAATCGGGAGTAATCACAAAGTCGAGCTTCTACAGTATACTCCAACAACCTCTCACTTATACTTTAAAGATCTTGGCTTTTCTAAGTATACACTCTTTCAATATTATTTCTCAAAGAACTGTTGTCCTAACTTTCATACATCCGACTCTCAATCCCTCAATATGGTCATCATCTACTTTCTACAGAAAGCCACTTCTAAAAGTAACTACTTGGTCGTCTATTGATGTAACTAGACGAAAAAACATTCACCCCTTTTACGATTATTTGCAATGATCATATTGACACTATGTTATTACTTGTCTTATGAACTTGTGATTTTTTCCGTTTGCATCTGCACCAACTGTCATCACAGTCAAATTCTGATCTGACTTGGTTAAACAAAAATTTCACATTTCTACTCCAATAGAGATTCTTGGAGTCAAACATTTTCCATCGCTTGTTCTTCAGCCAACAATGTATGAAGTTTCTATTGTGGAATCTGTCAACGTTTACTGCTTGACATTCTTCCAAACTATTGTCTCCATCTCACAAGTAAACACAAATCCCGAGATAGATCTTGTTTATTGTTCACATCACATTAGAAATTAGAATCCTTTGTAATCCATGGGGTGCATATGGTTCGTTTGATAACCCTACATATTATCCTTAACCCAGTTATAGTCGTTTGATCATATGTTCTACCACGAACTAATGTGCCCATCTAGGATTACTTCGATATCTATTAACTATGCCCATGAGGATAATAGATATCAATCCTCATTTACTGCATTTCATATACTAGGCTTCCTATTGCCACACATAAGAGAATGTCTATGTGTCATGAATGCTAAGAATTAGTCTTATGAAAGTATATTGATAGATATGTTGGGATTAATCGCAAATTTTCTTTCTTGGGATCCTCGATCTCAAGAACATGTGTTGATTCTCCCAAATGCTTCACATCCAGCTGCTTGGATAACTATACCTCTGCTTCTGACAACATCGTCACACTGTCTCCAGTGATGAGAATGTCGTCTACGCACAGTACAAAAACCACCACGCTTTCATTGCGTTACACAACTCATTTGGTAAATGATCAAATCCATGAATTGGACTCATCAACCTAATGTACCAAAACTTACTTTAGTCCACTAATGGGCTGTTTTAGTTTACAGACAAATTGCTTTCATCCCTTTTCAATGAACAATTATGGGTGTTGGTGCATGGATATTTCCACAAGGCCTTCGGCTAAAAAAAAAAAAAAATCTTTATATCCACCTTGTCTAATCTCTAAACTCATATGAGAGGCAACAACCTAAATTCGTGCAGACTCACGTACGGATACTGGGGATAATTTAACTCATAATAGAACCCATTCTTTTCGAGTCTACTATTTCACAAGCAGCTTTGCTCTAAAATCTACACGATTTTACTTATAGATTTCGTGCAATGGCCTTTACGTCACTTGGTGGTTCCATAAGATCCCAGATCTGATTAAAATCTGCAACCCTTAATTAGATATCATTGACACATTGCTGAGATTTACATCCTTGTCTCGGAGATACTCATTTATAACCAGTGATCAATTCAAGTTTACTATAAACTAAGTCTAAAGACTTTTTCAAGAACATGAATTTCTTAGTCTCGTGTTCAATAGAGTCTAAGTTCAACGACTCTCTCATGGACACGAATCTTACAATGTTTCCTTACAACCCTCCCACTACAACGTGTACCTCATCGTATAACCAGGGATCAGTTTCACGTTCACTAGTTACCAAATTCCGAGACTTTCTAAAGAACATCAAACAAATGAACTGCCTTGCAACCCTCCCACTACGACGAAGTTCCTCCGTCAAAGGTGTATTGCTCATAACGCGTGTTGCAGTTTTATTGTGATATCACATTTGTACACGCGGTATCGAAGTCAAACTTCATCGTTATCTTTCCTTTTAAAAATTCTACAAATGGACCCGTGGGTTATTATTTAGTATTCCTCTATAAAATAGGAATTTATACTAATGATCACCTTCTGATTTTTAGTAATATAAAATAATCCACTTTTCTTGTTACTATAGAGTATTCCACAAACAGCTTAAATTCTGAAAACTTTTCTAATCCTATCAGTATCAACTTTCCAGCACATGTCGATTTGTCCCAATTCCGAATATGTTCCTGACTAGGCCTAATCATTGTCTACATTTCATTCAGAGTAATGACAACTGAATTAGATGGAACTATGTTCAGAACTTATCCTGCTATTTGCAGAACTCCAAAAATTAAAAGAGAAATTCCTAATAACTCATCATTGCCACAACCAATATACATTAGAGACATTTTCCTTCATTCTGTTATGATGTCCTGTTTATGTGAACTTTGTACAGTCTGCTGGAACTGAATCACAGCTTCCAATTAATATTTTCCAGATTTTTTAAAAAATGTATTTAGTCACAACGATTACAATGATACATTAACCTCTAGTCTTTTTATTACTCTCATTGTACTTCCTCAAAGTATTCAAGCTTATGGAACGTCACTTAAGGTGCCCGTCTCAAATAAATTTCTTGAAAAAAATATTCGAAACTGCTCTTTGTCAAACAAATTCATAAGACTACACAAATTGGATGTACAAATCCTAACATTATTTGGCTTCTAAACCCCTCAACTTTCAGAAGATCATTTTGGTCATTTTAGCCACTAAGTATAATTCATAGGTCTGATATTTTAAACCACTCCCAAATAACTCATGAGTTCGATAACTATCCACCTTTAAATTCTACTAACACTGTGGGCCCTCTACAGATGCCCAGCTCAAGGATGCCATTAGGTGCCAGCACCCAAACTTCAATTTTCTTTCAGAAGTGAAAAAAAAAATATTCTTTCTATTTGTAATAAAGTTGGTTATAGCTCCAGAAACCATATTGTGGAGCCCAGAGGTTATAGTGGAGGTTTTTGCTTTTATGGGATGACAAGATCCAAGTTATCAGTATTTATAGTACTAACTTTTTCATCACTGTGAATTTCACTCCTTCATCAAGTTCATCTGCTTCATTAGCCATCTTTGTTTACCACTGTTCAACGCCTTGCAATCAGTTCTTCTACTTGGCGAGGCATTCGGAAGACGAAAGGAATCTTGGGGATGGGGTTGCGTTGGCGTCTGGGCGATGACCTCGCATTCCTTAGGGATAGGCTCAGGGAACATAGCCCACTTCTGAAAGCAGCCAGAAACAAAAACCCAATGGACCACACCCATTGAGGAAAAAGAAAAATGGGGATCCAACTGGTGTATGTCAGGTGATTGGAATGACCTCCTTTTAACTTCAGAAAAGAAAGGTGGTAGAGTCAGATCAGAGGCTAGCCTTGCAAGCTTTAAGGCTTTTGTAGCTGCCATGGGTATACAAGAGATCACTTCTCAAGGACAACAGTTTACTTTGGGAAATAACAGAGATGATGAAGTATATGTGGAAGAGAAGTTGGATAGAACATTTGCATCTCTAGGGTGGCTAACATCTTTCCCAAACACTCAATCAACAAATCTGTTCAGTAACTCTTTTTACCACTACATGATTGTCCTCTCAACAGAAGTCAAAAGCCAATAGAAAAGTAGGAGGTTCTAATTTGAAAGAAGGTGGCTAAAGCAAGAAGGTTTGCATGATGTGGTTAAGCAGGCATGGGACTATAATGCAGGTGACACTCCCATATATTTAGTCAATGAGAAAATCAAAAAAGCTACAATGGCAGTTCTTCTTTGGAGCAGACACTTTAGAGCTCTCGGCAAGAAGAATATCTCTAACAATTTTTAAGCTTGGAGCATATAAAGCAGGAGGGAGGTGATAGAAATTGACATAAATGGGATACACTGAAGAAAGAGCTAGATGAAGCTTCTATGGCTGAAGGAAGGAGACAAAAACTCAAAGTATTTTCATGCTTATACTCTCGAAAGAAGAAAATGCAATGCTATAGAACGACTTCTCAATGTCAATAGTCAGATGAGTGAAGATCAGAAAGAAATTGAGGGCCTAGTTATCGCATACTTCTACAATTTGTACACA